AAGGAGCAAGTTCACAGCTTCACCTTCTTGGAAGTAGCGGTACTGTCTCTTTCAAAGAAGACAAGAAAGGAGTGGTAGAAACTGGACATCATCAACCACTCTGGAAGAAATCTGGAAGTATCTGTATTATCCCTGATAATGTCTTCCATGGATGCCCCGTGGGGGATGTACTCCCCCCACTTCTGCTGTCATTTTGTGAGAACACACAAGGGTGTCCCTCAAACCATCACTAGAACTGAAAAGATTGCCTTCCCAAATACATGACCTACAAGTTGCATCTTGTGTTGTGACTCTTTACTGCCCTTTGCACTAAGGTTGTGATAGAGACATTGCTTTCACCTAGCTCTCCATTAATGGATTGTAGAAGAATCAAGACGTGTGCGTGAAAGAGTATATTTTGATTCCTACTCAATATAATACCCTTACCCTGAATATTTTGGTTCCCATGACTTCTGTGGCAGTCAATCAAAACAGAGATTTGGGATGTATATTTTTTTCTGCTTCTGATCGCTGGATGACCTACCCAAGGAATTCAGACTTCTGTCATTTCTCTGGAGAAAAAGAAATTCTAATACCACAAATGGATTATTTGCAAGTTTAGTGTGTACAGTCCGTTCCATCTTGGATGGACTTACGATGCACTCAGCTGATCATTGTGATCTCCCAGTGCCCATGGCCTGCTATGGTGACCATCAGAGGGCTACACTGTAAGTTCAGGTTGGATCTTCTCCAGAGAAGGTGAATTAAAAAGAAACCAGGGCAGGACAAAGCATGTCGTAGGTCAGGATCTTCATGTTGTGTCTCTAAGACAAAGTGATTTAGCATTTCTTTTGGGGGAAGCAACTTGACGCTGAAAACACCCTGTCTCCAAACCTTTTGGGGGAAAAGTTCTAGGTTACCAAATCTGGGTTGGGTGAGTCTGGAACATCATTAGATGGTAGCAAAGAAGTAATTTTCCGCCACCTAATGCTCATTTTTGCAGACCAAATCTGATAGCCTTAGGTATTTTGCTGAACGCTTTTCCACCAAAAATGGATGCAATGATTCATTATCATTTTGACAAGAACATATCAAAATGGCAATGCCTGTTAAGGCATTAAAAATAAATCTCTAAGCCTGTCATTCCAAATTTCCCCCCAAAATAGGATACTTGGTCCCACTCGTCTCCAGTGATGTATTTTAGCTAAGTTTGTCCTGTTATATCACCCACTGCAGCTCTTCTTCCCAATCAAATGCAGGTAGTCCTTGACTTAAAGACCAAAATTGAGCTCAAAATGTTCGTTGCTAAGTGAGATAGCTGTTAAATGAGTTTTGCCCCATTGTATGACATTTCTTGCCACAGTTGTTAAGTCAAATCATGCACTTGTTAGGTTAGTAACATTACCATGTTTCCCCGAGAATAAGACCCAACCAGAAAATAAGCCCGAGCATGATTTTTTCAGATGCTCGTAATATAAGCCCTACCCAAAAAATAAGCCCCGGTTAAAATCATACGCCAGATGGACGCATTTAGTATCGTATTTTCCTGAAAAATAAGACCTAATGAAAATAAGCCCTGATGCGTCTTTTGGAGCATTGTTTGGGAGCAAAATTAAAATAAAGACCTGGTCTTATTTTTGGAGAAACATGGTAATTTTTAAGTGAATCTGGATTCACCGTTGACTTTGCATGTCATAAGATCTCAAAAGGGGATTACGTGACCCTGAGACACTGCAATTGTCATGAATACAAGCCAGTTGCCAAGTGTCTGGATTTTGATCAGGTGACCATGGGGATGCCATGGTTGTAAGTGTGAAAAATGGACATAAGTCATTTTTTTCAATGCTGTTGTAACTTCAAACAGTCACTAAATGAATAGTTGCAAAAGGAGGAATTCCTGTATTGGCTGTGGTTCAATGCCATCAAAACTCTCATCTCCAAAAACCTTAACCTACTGGAAAACCTTTCTCAGGGAATACTGCCTCTGCTTTTCTAAGTTGTTGGTCTCTGTGACATGCTGTTCTTCCTCTGTGGAACCCAAATCTACTCTGCTCTTATCTGACTCATCAAAGAAAAAGAAGAACCCACTGGAAAACCCATAACTCTTGTCGCCAGCTTAGAGAGAGGACTCCATGTAGGTATAACAGATTTGCCTTTCATTATCTCCACAGCCCTTTGAATCCAAATGCCACACAATTGTTCCTCTCATTCTTCTGCAGAAGCCGTTTTACATTTGGTTTCAAACCATCCATCGATTCAAGCTCTATTCCTGTTAGTTCTTTTGATAAACAGATTCCATCAAGCAAGCCAACTCAGATCAACACATCCTGAATAACCTGGACACATATCTCAAAGGGTTCCCCCTCCCCTTAACAGTGTGTTTATATAAAGAGTGATTTTTCTGACAACACATTTGGAGAGTGATTTCTTAACTAAGAACTTGAAGGAAAAGTGGGGAAAGGGGGTTGGATTTGAAGAATCGTTAGCAATCGTCCAATGTGACCGCCCTGATATGTAAGACTAGCTCTATACCCGTGCTTCGCTACGAAACTATGTGATCGGGCTTAGTTTTGGGGGAGGAAAATAAGGGAGGGGGGGAAATTATGTCTTTGTCTAGTGGCATCCATCGGTATTCATCTGGCTAGTGTCCTGTCAGTGTGTGAGAGAGTTGAGGACTCTTTGGAAACTGAAACAGTATTTGAGCAAGGAGACAGCAAGGAGCCTGGGCATGGCTTAGCTCAACTGCAGTTGGAACAGATTTCTTTTGAAGTGGGGAGTAGTAATAGAACTCCTTAGGATCAGAGTGTGTTAATAATAATATAGGAAATATTTATGCTTTGGTGGTTATTTTGAAAAATCCTTTCTTAGTGAGGAAGCCAAGAGAAACATACTTGCTAAATTTCAAGTTTGTAGGTTTTATGGTTCTGGAGATTTTGTGATGATGGGTGAGTGGTATTTTGCTTTTATATATATAGATATGCTTGCAATGGAAGTGAGCAATTGTCCCTGTAATTTGGAATCTTATTTTGAGTTGACTGCAGTGTTTGATTCAAGGATTCCCTCTTTGATCTGCTGTCCTTTCTCTTGGAATTATTACCTTTCGGGAAATGACTAGGATTAACTCCCAAAGCTAGAGAGCCTCATGCAGTTTGACAACACACAGCTCCAAAGGATCCGAAGTAGTTTGAAGGTGCTGTGTGATCCGTGTCTCTTCTGCTGGCTCAAAACTCTAACGACAAAGAGCAAAAATCACAATTTCTCTCAAATGTCTGCAGGTGTGGCAGCAAAAAGGGAGAATTAAAAAGGAGACCCTCACAAGTGTATATGCAAAAATAAATAAATAAATGGGAATCCAATTGGCTGGCTTACTAGTGTCCAGCTAGTCCCCTCTGCTGAAAAAGTTGGAAACTAACCCTTGTTAACTACATTCTGTGGAGGTTTTGGTGGTTTCTGAGTTTGGTGGTTTACTTGCAGTTATTTCATTACCCGGCTAGGTAATACCATAAGTGAAGAAGAGGTCAACTTATTCTCCAAAGCACCTGAAGGAAAGTCTATGGAGATCATCAGTCATCCAGGTCTTGGTTGTCCCAAAAGTGCTTTTTTTTGTTTTTCAAGAGGCATCTGGACTTTCTGGTTTTTCTCTGAAGGTGTTTCGCTTCTCCTCCAAGAAGTTTCTTCAGATGAGAAGCGAAACTTCAAAGGAAAACAAGGAAGTCCCGGAGTTGCCTCTTGAGAAAGCACCTTTGAGACCCCAGAAAGAACGATAAAAGAAACAATGGATGGAAACTAACCCAAGAGAGGAGCAACCTAGAACTAAAGAGAAATTTCCTAACGGAACAATTAACCAGGGGAATGACTCACCTTCAGAAATTGTAGGTGCTCCATCCCTGGAGGTTTTTAGAAAGGGACTGGACAGGTATAGGGTCTCCTGCTTGAGAAGGGGGTTGGACTAGATAACCTCCAAGGTCCCTTTCAACTCCGTTCAGTATTCCAGTATTTCTAAGTTATACAGTTATAAGTTATGCAGTATATGTGGAGGGGGGCGGGGTGAGAATGCTTATCCAGTAAGCTGCAGGAAGAATTTTAAAAAAAAAACAATTCCAGAAAAACAGTTGCCAATCAAATTACTTTTCTGGAATTAAAAAAGCGAGGCACCATCCTGGGAGTATGGAACAGCCTGGAGTCTGGACTGAGTATCTTGCAAATTGTTGCTGAAGTCTAGATAGGATTTTCTCAAGGTGTCTTAGAATCAAGCCGGCATCAATACAATGCAAGAAGCAACCTAAGGATATAGAGCCTACAGATTGGCTTTATTGCCAACAGACCTGGGGACTCCAGAATGGGATGGAGCCCATCAAAACGCTTATTTGGTTGATGTTATCATCATCAGAGTTGGAAGGGACCCTGGAGGTCTTCTAATCTGATGCTCAAGGAGAAGCGCCTATTCCATTTCAGACAAATGGTTGTCCAGTCTCTTCTTAAAAGCCTCCAGTGTTGGAGTATCCACAACTTCTAGAGGCAAGGAGTTCCACTGATTAATTGTTCTCGCTGTCAGGGAATTCCTCCTGAGTTCTAGGTTGCTTCTCTCCTTGATTAGTTCCCATACATTCCATGTGGCCAGAAAAGCGGGGGAGGAGGTTGGTTATTGCTTTTTTAAAATTGCTTTTATATTGTGTTTTTATCCTTGTAAGCCACCCATTGTCACTGAGAGTGAGTTGCATGACCCTATAAATGTCCTTAAATGAATAAATAAGCAGATGTTTGTTTCAGTGTGATGCTACTTATGAGATTTCTATGCACAGTGGAAGAGGTATAAATCAGCAGTGGGATTAAATTTTTTTTACTACTGGTTCTGTGGGTGTGTCTTGGTGGGCATGGCAGGGGAAGGTTACTGCAAAATCCCCATTCCCTCCCCACCCCACTAACCTGCTTTCCAGCTCCCTTCTCCTGTGCAGGGCAACAAAAGGAGACCCAGCCGATCAGCTGGGACTCAGGAGGTGGAGAATAGATGGGGTTGGCAGGGCCAGTCAGAGGTGGGATTGGCCGGTTCTCTGAACTACTCAAGATTTCCGCTACTGGTTCTCCAGAACTGGTCAGAACCTGCTGAATACCAACCTCTAGTATAAATAAACGACCTGTACAAACACAGCGAGACAAAAAATGACACAAGCAAGAGGACAATCCCAGTAGAATTTTTTGCTGGGACTCTTTCTTAGGCTTGTCTGAATGCAGAGTCACTTTTAGCTGTCACAATATGTGGGGTCCCTGTAATGTGGGGAGTTACAATATGCCGAATTGGCAAACGACAAGTTTTTTTAAAAAAACCGAACATTTGTTGGGTGGGTGGTTAGGTTGACAATCTTAAATCATCTTGCTATTTATGTGGGTGTCTCTCCATCTCACTGGGACAGGAATTTTAAAAAAGCCAAACCAATCTAGGTGTTTGGCTTTGAATGCCTGCTGTGCTTACACATTAGCCAGAAAAATTTCCCCAATTTTCTAAACTGTTAGTGAGTTATTCAAATTTATGATACCAACCAGTTCAGATTTTGATTTCTAAGTAAAGAGAGAGAGAGAGAGAGAGAGAGAGAGAGAGAGAGAGAGAGAGA